AAATGTATGATATATAATTAATAAATATTAATAAATATTTCTTAATATTTATAATGTTTTAATTTTATTAATATTTATTTATAATTAATAGTAATAAATAATAAATAATATTAATTAAGGTTTATAAGTGGAAAAAAGGTGACAAAAAACTACCAAAACATTACTCCGAGTAGTGTTTTAATAAGTTAGCTTATGTGCATCCAAACATGTACCCAGAAAATAAGCTAGCTTATACACTAACTTATTTTTGCCAAACAATGCCTTAATGGGTAGGCATGGCAACGGGGCAGGGATGCGGCAGGTTTTGTAATCCATGGCCCGACCTCGGTTTTTAGTAATAACCCCAGCCCCAGTGGGTGTCAAACCCAAAGAAAAATATTCGTTAGTTTGAGTCTATCGGAGATCCCGAGCTCCGGTACCGATTTAAGTAACATTCCCCGACCCCCGTTTGAGTCTACCGGGGATCCCCAGCCCCGAGACCGGTTTTAGCGGGGAATCCCAGCCCCTTCGGATCGGGTGAGTCGGTTTCCCCATCAGGTTGGGGGCAAATCACCATCCTTATTAATGAGCAAGTCTTAAGAGAATATAATAAACAAACCTCATCTATATTGGACTTGAATTTATAAACAGTCAAAACCCTTATAGCCATGTAGGTTCACTTGCAATCACGACTAATTTCACCTACGAATTTTACTCCGGGAAATCCATCGCTAAAGGGTGATTTGTTATAAACGTTGATGGGAAGCTCAAATTAATGACAAATTACACATGTATTTTGATATATTTTGAGTGATCCGTTAGTATTTTCTGAAAAAACATCAGATTCTACCGGATCTATTGGTATTTTCTGAATGATCTATTGATAATCATGGGTAGAAGTTTATCTAGATGATTTTTGTGGGTAAATGTCTTCTTCTTACAGTGGATGACTCTAGGCCATTCTTGATCGCCAAAGGTATTAGTTGATACACGTAAGTACGTAATCCGATCTAGCAACCCCATTGTTAATAACAAAAAGCCTAATCGACTTATATTTTGGTTGTTTTGAAAAGAACTATAAAATTAATTTGGTTTACAAATATTAACTTTATCAACTTAAAGAATCAAGAACATTTTGGCCTTAAAGTATATAATTATTAATCAAAGATATTTGTTAATCTGCAAAATCGAGTCCAATATTGAAAAAAACTATCTTATAAAAGAAACAACTTCGAAACGATCATGTCAAAGGCACTTCGAGATCAAAAATTTTAATCAAGACGAAGGCAATATTTTGAATAAGATAGAATCAAAAATTATATATGTACCAAAACCAGTATTAAAATCTTAAAAAATATACGTTTTTTGAAATAATTTAAAAACTTTTAATGGTTTTAAACAAAGAAGGTATAGTGGATGCTACGAACATCCATAATGCAGGTTCTTGTTGAGATTCCTTTTGGGGTTTTACAAAAGCCTACATTATAGGATGATAATTCTTTTTCAGTTACAGGTTCTTATTAGAACACAGGTGATTAAAAAAACCTGGAATCTTGTATACTTTTCTTTTTTGTTATTTTTTATTTATTTTTTATTATGTTTTGAATAAATCTAAAAGACATAAAAGTTAAAATTAATACAAAAAATACAAAATAATTATTATAAAATAAATTT